AGTCGCTCTGCGCACGCAGCCCGTCCCGTACCCGCGCTCCGAAAGACCCAGCCGGCTGGCCCGGGTGCCCAGCACTATCCCTCCTCATACCGGGCTATGTACAGAGCATGCGCGGACCCACAACGCAGCGGCAAAGCCTTCCGCATGCGTGACCAGGGCAACCTCGCCCCTGCTCCGCCGATTGGACGCGCTGGATCACGTGGGGGAATTAGGCCCTGCACAGGTCTTGGGCGCGACCCTAGGGAGGGACTGGAGTAGGTTTCTGCGCATGCGCGCGTTGTGGGGTAGCTGTCGCTGACATTCCGACAGGAGTTGCCTTGTAGCCCCGGCAGTCGCGAGCTGCAGCCCTGGGGCGGAGCGGGGCCGGTCGGTGCCTCCCCGCGCTCCGCTGAGGACACACGGCAGGGTGGGGATCAGGGGGCCCATGGCTCTCCGGGGGCACCAGGATCAGCTTTGGTGCGGGGCGTGTCCCTGCCTTTGCTCCTGCCCCGCCTCGTAAGCTGATTAAAAAAACCAGAAACAGATGGGACCATGGGTGTCACTGCATACCGAGATACGTGAGCCGAGGTGTACGGTACCAGGGTCACCTTCTTCCCCTGTAAGACCGTGTTCTGATTAATCTTCATAGTCTCCAGCCTGAAAGAGAAACAAAAAGTAACTTACCCAAGCCTAGGACAGGGTACATCAGCACGGAGCTATAAGTGCTTTGCTTCCCCACATGTTGAAAAGTAATAGTGAGGTAGCCATGTTAGTCTGATCTTGGTAAAACAAAAGGAAAAATATGTAGCACTTTCAAGACTAACAAGATGGTTTTTAGGTGATGAGCTTTCGTGGGGCAGGCCCACTTCCTCAGATCATATTCTGAAAGTGAATTGACGTGTATATGGCCATGCCAATTCACTTTCAGAATATGATCTGAGGAAGTGGGCCTGCCCCACGAAAGCTCATCACCTAAAAACCATCTTGTTAGTCTTGAAAGTGCTACATATTTTTCCTTTTGTTTTACCAAGATCAGACTAACATGGCTACCTCACTATTACTTTTCAACATGTGGGGAAGCAAAGCACTTATAGCTCCGTGCTGATGTACCCTGTCCTAGGCTTGGGTAAGTTACTTTTTGTTTCTCTTTCAGGCTGGAGACTATGAAGATTAATCAGAACACGGTCTTACAGGGGAAGAAGGTGACCCTGGTACCGTACACCTCGGCTCACGTATCTCGGTATGCAGTGACACCCATGGTCCCATCTGTTTCTGGTTTTTTTAATCAGCTTTATTTTTAAGGGAATGTACTAATCATGGAAGGCTCTGGCTTAGCAGGCCTGGGGAGCGAAATTGCTGTCCGTGTGAGTGACACAACAGTAACAGCAGCAGTGTAGCTTTGCCTGTGTTGGCCTGCCCATGTTCCTTGGTTCTGTTCCACAGCAGCTGCCTCTAGGTGTGAAATGGCCACTGAGTGTCCGTGATTCCTCTGTTGAGGCTGTCTGCAAAGTAAGGATGTTAAGGACTAGTTATCTATCCGATAAGCAACTGCTTATTGGATAGTCAGTAGACTAGTCGATTCCCCCCATTGCTGCCTCTATCAGATAGAGGCAGCAAAAGGGGGGGAAGAAGGGGTACTTCAAAGCGGTAGCTATTGCACAGCTGAGCCAAGGATCAGCTGTGCGGCGCTGAAGTGCCATGGAGCCTGGGGTCAGCTGGAGACTTCCCAGTTAACCGCAGGTTCACATGGCATTTGCTTAGAACCCAGGGTCAGCTGGGGACTTCCCAGATGATCCCGGGTTCCTCTGAAATGCCGCACGGAGTCTGGGATCAGCTGGGGAGTCCCCAGCTGCCCCCAGGCTCCATTGTGCTGCCCCTTTGAAATGCAGAGGTGGCGTTTTAAAGGGGCAGTGCCACACAGGTGAGCCAGGGATCCCCAACTGACCCCAGGCTTTGCATAGCATGCAGCGCAGCATGGAGCCCGGGGTCAATGGAGGACTCAGAGTCCCCCGTTGACACTGGGCACCATGGCTTTGAAATGCACAAGAGCCCCCGCTGGGGACTCTTGTACATTTCAAAGCAGGCACGCCTGGGAGCAGTCCCAGCTGGCATGACTGCACACAGAGTTCTGCATTCCTCCTTTGAAATGTACAAGAGCCTTTGTTGGGGCTCTTGTACATTTCAAAGGAGGAATGCAGAAGTACCTATCAAGTAGTCTGCAATTTAACATCCTTACTGCAGAGATGGACAGCAAATGCCAGTGGCGAACTTTGTTTATCTAATGTAGACACTTATCCAGTTAGTGGGTCCAGCCCACTTCTAACTCATTTCATGGCCACCAAACAGCCATAGGATATGCTGCTGTTTCTGTACTTGCTATTAGCTTTTCCCCATTGCTTGTGAACAGGGAAACCTTAGCTGATCAACAATACTGGTTTCTGAAAAATGTATACGTTAACCAGTGAATTTGTAGCTGTAGACTTCGATGATTGCACTCTCACTGAAAAGCAGACCCCAGGTAGGGTATCACATGCACCTTTACTAGTATCTTATTTTGTGTGCCTGTGGGAGGAAGATTGTGTACTGATTCCTATGATGTGTCAGGAAGTTAAGTGAACCTTGCAGCAGCTGGCCATTGGGGCACTTACAAGTAACCTGGAGTCTCCTGAATAAGTTTGATGTGGGAAAGGGCAGTTTGACCCTTAAAGGTTTCAGTGGAACACAACAGGTGGCTCTCTAAATAGATCTACATGCTGTTTGTGCCACTCTCCATCAGATACCATGAGTGGATGAAATCGGAGGAGTTACAGCGACTGACCGCGTCCGAGCCCCTGAGCCTGGAGCAGGAGTATGAGATGCAGCGCAGCTGGCAGGAGGATGCAGATAGTGAGGCGTTTGACTGTTTCCCTTGCGCGGGAAGGTGTGGGGAGCACTTCTGCCTAAGCCTTGTTAGGAATCACAGCTAGCTCTGAGTTTCTGGCATGTGCAATTCTGCAGCCCTGTGCTGTAAGGAGTGAGAGCCATTGTAACGGGGCAGTAGCCCCTCTCGCATTAAGGGACTAGCTGACTGTTTAACTTCTAGGTTTGTTTTAAGTGATCTAAAACCCAGGGGTGACTGGTGAGGGGCCAAACAGGGGACCACTGGACACAAGACCCTCCCAGACCAGGGAATGGCCTGGACAACCCCCTTCCACTTCAGACCCTGCTTCTTCCCTCCCGTCCTCCACCCACTCCGTGTCTTTGCTCTGCCTGTCCCCTCCTCCATCCCTCCTCTTTCCTGAGGGATGTGGTGCAGAGGGCAGGGGCAGTGCAGCACTGGCAGCAGTGGTCAGGCCCCGTGCTCCCTGATAGCAGAGGGAAAAGCAGGGCAATGGAGCCCCAGCTTGCTCCGCTGCTCTAACTATGCTTTTCACTGGTGAGTGCTGGGCAATCCCCACCCTCCCCCGAGCAATGCAGCTGGAGAACCAGAGCAAGCTGGCGCTGTGTTGCTTCGCTTTCCCCACTGCTGCCAGTGAGTGTGGGTGGGGGTGGACTCTTGCTTTGGTTGCTGCTTCCACTCCCCTCCCCCACTGGTTCCCCATGCTGCTGGCTGTCCCTTTGCCCCTTCCGCGCCAGGCATTTGAGGGAGCTTGTGCTCCCCAAGTGTTGCCCATGCTAAAACCACCGCTTACTCAGATTGTCTTGAGAATTGCTGTCTCAGGGATGTGTAGAAGGGGGTTAATGGTTCAAGTGTGGGGTCATTTGAGGAATAGGTTTCCAGAATAGAACTCTTAAAATCACGGAACATGAATTATTTATGGGTCTTACTGTTGTCACCTGAGCCTCTGAAAACCAGTAAATGCTGAGCTAAATCAGAGGCCCAGTCAATTGTGAATTCTGGGAGGTATGAGGTAGTTCCAATCAAACTTATCTCATTTTTACTGATGTTTCAGGGCAGTGAATACATTTAGATTGTGTATACGTACACACCCATTGGAGGGATTGAGGGAGCATGGGCTGCTGAAGTTTTGCTTTGTACAGCTGTTAATTAATGTTAAGTTGTTAATATTACCTGAGCAGTAGTAATCCCATCAATTCTGATAGAGAGCAGAGAGCTCAGTCTTTGTGAACAAGTGAGGGAGAAGTTTGAAATTTTTCCCTGGGGAATTTGACAATATATAATGACCAGGTTTGGATTCATTGGCTGAATTATTGGCCTGGCTCTATGAAAGGTTGAGTGAGTTACTGCCCATAACATCAGTTACAAATTTATAGTCACAAAACACGGAGGGTGGGACATATCAGAAACTAACTCTTGTCTTGGTCATTGGTGATATGGGAAGACAAGGAACAGAGTAGATAACTCAACAGGTTGCTTCAGTCTCTTATGTACAAGGTTCTTTGTCTGAGTTTACTGGAAAAGGTGATGAAGTGGGGGAAGCTAATCCACAGTAATTTTATATATTGCATCAGACAAGTATCTGTATGAGCACTGGGCCCAGCCGAACTGAAAGCAGCATAGCTTTCCTGGGGTGTTTCTGGGGTGGAGGGTGGTAAGCATGCCTGTTTGTCCCAGGTGCCCGGATGACTAGTTCATATAGGCAACTAACGTGCAGGATGTTGCACATGCTAATTGTCCTTTTTAAATGTCTTACTTTTTTGATGTTGTACTTCAGTAATTTGTGAATGATTCTTAAACATGCGCTGTGAATTCTGCCGCTGTCTCTTTTTCCCCAGAATGCACGTTTATTGTGCTGGATGCTGAGAGGTGGTCTGGGCAGGCAGGCACAGAGGAGGACTGCATGGTGGGGGACGTGAACCTGTTCCTCACAGATATGGAAGATCCAACACTGGGAGAGATTGAAGTCATGATTGCAGGTACCTTACGCACAGCCCCATGCTGCTAATGCCATTTTCATCCTAACACTCCCCTCAGCCCTGCAGTAGATCTTGGGTACAAAAGCATCTTCGTACCAATGTCTTCAGGAGGTTTTTGATTAGTCTTATCAGAAAGTGGCCACTTGACTCAGAGCTCTACCAGTGCAATCAAGTACCCATCTGCCACTTCTTTTCTGCAAATGCAGCCCTAACCTCTTCTGAGGAAAGTGTGCCACTTACATATAGATGGACTCCAACGTCTGTTGTCCCTTTTAGAACCCAGCTGCCGTGGACGAGGGCTTGGCAAGGAAACAACTCTGATCATGATGTTTTACGGTAAGAATGGCTGAATGGGGAAGGACGGAAGTGATGTGATGAGTGATGCAAGCGCACATGCTCCCAGTAGCTGCTCTGTGTATCTGGATGGGGGGTATGTACCAGCCCACATATTTAAAGAGCATGGGAATCTTGCCTGTCCATCGCTATGACAGAATGCAGAGTTCTGGAGGTATGTGCATACAGACGTGGGTTCTTATTTCTCATTTTGGATTCTTCTGTAGGAGTAACAAAACTTGGAATTACCAAATTTGAGGCAAAGGTTAAACAAGAAAATGAAACTAGTATCTGCATGTTCAAAAAGCTTCATTTTAAGGAGGTAAGGTACCAGCCTGTTCAGGAGAGATGGAATTCCCTCCTTTTGAAAGAACATTTAACTAGAACTTGAGATTCATGGGTTGTTCTTTTACCTTGTACATAGGTTGCCGTGAACAGGGTCTTCCAGGAGGTGACATTAAGACTGGATGTGAATGAGCAGCAGAGACAGTGGCTCTTGGAGCAAACTAATCACATGGAGGAGAAAAATTATAGTGCATTGAACCTACAGACTCACGCCTCTGAGACCTGACAGCTTTTCCAGAGACAGGCAGGCCACACTCCTGCTAAGTCTCCAGGGAGGAACGATACAACATTCCTGAGTGCAAGTATGGAAAAACACCTGGGCAGCAAGAGTAGATCAAACAAACTTAAACCGCTTTGCTACTGCACACACCTGGTCTGCCACCTGTGAAATGCTGAGCCTCCACTGCAGTCACAATGCAGCATCTACAGGGGCATTCCTTTGAAACCGTGCTGGAAGCTGGCTAGGATGAACAGATGCCACCTGGATAAGCATAGAAGTACAACTTGGCTGGGAATGGCCCTTTTGGCCACAAAGCTCCCTCTGCTCTGTTTTAGGAAGGGACTTTCTACATCTCCAGGGCTTATAAACATCAGTGAATTGGCCAGTAGTCTCTGGATGAGCAGAGGAGACTCGGTTCCTTGCTAAACCACTGCCATCCTTAGCAGCAGAGTTCCTAGTGTCACAGATGGAGACGCCCCAGGAGACTCTGGCCTGCTTTGTCACATGCAAACTGACATAAATGATGTCATCTTAACATGATCTGGTAGGAAAAGTAGCTCAGTTGCCATCCTTGACTGGTAAAGCTGTGGCTACAAGATTTAAAGAAAAATAACCAGTGGGGACTATCAGTGAGTCTGCTACACAAGTTGTTATCATTGCAGGTATTGCAGGCACCAACTTTTCCCCTCATGGCCTTTGCACTTAGTCCTGGCTTTCCATCACTGCTGCCTGCCCCTCATTTGGTTGCACATACATGAACCTGTTGTATAGCTCCTTGCAGCTCCAAGTGTGAGCACAGCTTAATGGGAGAGAGGGGTTAAGATCTGAGAGGGGTTGAGTGTCCTTCTCTCCCATTAAAGTGAATTTGAGTTGTGAGCACGTTGTAGTTTGCAGTGGTAAACTATAACACTTCTAAAAAGGTTAGTAACTAACATGCTAACCTGCCAGCATGTAAAGACAGCAACGAAGAGGATAAAATCTGAGGTGCTAAGTTATCTCTGTGCATCAGACTTCACCAGAGGATGATTTTTGATGGGTAGAAATGCCTCTTCCAGGTCTGCTTGGTACAGGTACTCAGAAGGGCCATTGCTGTGATAGAATCTCCATAAAAAGGTAGTGAGGAAATTAAATTACACTGAGGAGGTAAAGAATAAAGCAGCTGAGCTGCTACTCTGCTTATGTATAACTATCTATAATTAACTGTTGGATTACCTAGGGAAGTAGTGGAGTCTCCATCCCTGGAGGTGTTTAAGTCTCGGCTTGACAAAGCCCTGGCCAGGTTGATTTAGTTGGGATTGGTCCTGTCTAGAGCAGGGGGCTGGACTTGATGACTTTCTGAGGTGTCTTCCAGCTCTATGGTTCTATGATCTACATTACAAGGCAACCAGAGAATGGCTACCCTGGAGCCCAGCCTTTAAGGGAGTGATAAATAAAACTTGTGGAACTGACTGCTGCAAGATGGGTGCTGACATTTCTTTAACTTTCCAAAATGGGATTTGTGGTCAGGTGAATGAGAACATGCATCCTGATACTATACTAGTCACCACTAGAGTTGGTTGGGAATCTTTCAATTAAATGTTTTTTTTATTAAAAAATGCCAATTTGTATAAACCAGAACTTTTTGTGGAAACTTCAGTTTTGATATAAGTGTATTTGTCAGATCCAGGACAGACCTCCCTGAATGAACCCATGATATCAGGGACTCTAACTTGGGTTTCCAGCATCCCAGGTAAATGCTCTATTCACTTTTTTTGAAAGGTCTCAGTTTTCTTCTGCATTAGAAGAACAACACATGTTGAAGCCTCAGCCTTTTATGCAATGGGAATTATGGTTTCTGGTCACCCCCACTTGTCCCATCAGAAGAGATGGTGGGTTTCACCCTTATAAAACTGCTTTTCAAAGTGGGACAAGCAATACTGGACAAACAGTCCAGTTCTCAAAGGCAGCTCAGCTCAATTACTGCACTCCGGGTAAGATGGATGGGGAAAAAGTGCCTCCTACTTTGAGGTGGTGTCCTTGAGGGTGAGCATTTAATAGTCACATTATTTGACTGCAAGATTTAGAACTCAGTAAGGGAAACCTGATTGATTTCTCTAATAGAATTGTTTATACAGCGAGCCATTCTGAAGGACAATCAAATCTCCCCCCAGCAGCAATAGATGTTAGGAAGCTACTGGGAGCTAAGCTCATCAAGGTCAGGTAGGTGTAGCTAGACAGTGCCTGTAACATTCCCTCTTTAGAAAAGGCGGTTTGCTCTCACAGGCTTGGTTTTGCTGCTGGGTAGGGTAGCAGGTTTAAACTGGGATATTTTTAATCATCATTTTGTGGAATTTTTACCGCTGTTGTTTGTGTTAGTCCTAAGGCATTCCATGCTGATTTTAGTTCATGTAAATGCCCACATTCTTATGATGTATATTAAAATCAAGTGCAGTAGAAATATATTGTGGCATTTTAATCAGGGAGTAGGTATTTAGTGTGGATTTTGTTATAGCAAAAGCCATGTGCAGTAATGAAGTGAAGAGGAGCTTTATGTATAGCTGGGATTAAAGTTATAAGGGCTAGTAATCCTCATGTTGCTTGATCACCAGCCGGGGTCAGGCCTGAATTTTGTCTCCGTGGTACAATATTGCACAATTGGCCAGGTGCATTATGGGCTTTTCTCTGCTTCCACTAAACCAAGTGCCACTGCTCGCAGCATGATGCTATTGAAAGGAGGTTGGTGCTGCTCCAGCAAAGTAATGAACATGTCTGCACTCAGTTGCTGGCTGGAAATGCACATATGAACAGTCTGCCTGTTCCTGCTGCCATGAGAAGTCGATGGCATAGTATTGCTGTCAGCAACACTGAAGCCAAATGAACTGAAGTGGGTCAGGAAAAGAATGTGTTTTCAAATTTCTATGTAGAAGTCTCCCAATTTCCTGAAGAGAGGCCTGGGGCTGCTGGACAGTGTTGTAGAAACACAGTGGGCTAAAAGTCCTACATGTATTACAGGGCATGTAGGAAAAGTGTTTGAGTGGAACTAATTTTGTTCTGCCACTGTGGTGCTAAAGTGGGTTAAGGCCTGTACACAAGGGCTGGAAACTAGTTGAAACTAGTTACATTCTAATGGAAATAAGTAACCCGTAACTCTGTAAACAGTGGAGCCATTTCATCTGCTCCCCATCATGTTATCTGTGCCGGGGCATTATTAAAATTAGACTGGCTCCATAGTGGACCAAAGCAGGGGTCAAGTTACCTTACAGCTGGTCCTGATATGGTGCTAGATGAGGGGAAGGAGGAGGGAGAGAAGGGCCTGCAGTTTGGAATGTCTCTCACTGGAAACTCTTCCCTCCTGCTCACAAGATCCTGAAGAAGCCTGCCGATTGAGGAGTTCAGTCCTCACTTCTTGCAGGATTGAGGGGCCACGCTCCCCACTGAGAGGAGACTAATGCACCTGTGTTGCTGCCAGTAGCTGGGTTCCCTTAGCAGCACCTAACCCTGTTTTAGGAGCACTAGGGGAGCTCAGCCCTTCTCCGACTGAAGGGTGTGATGTAAATCCTGAATTTCCCTCTGTCTCCTGGAGCTCTGCCACCTTCACAAAATCATGTCAAATTCAGAGTTCTGAGCAAAGACAAGAAACTCTGATACCATCCTTCCCTGCCCAAGAAGATGCTAGCAGCCCATTGGAAACAGGGCTTCAGACATATAGCTGGGATTGAAGGCTGGATGCAATTTACAGTCAACAGGGAACTCAGATGATTGGAGATCTTCCATTTCAGTGTCTTGCTGGGCTTCATCTAAGAGGTACACAACAGCCATCCCTCAACACACTGCCTTGAGCTGAGAGGACCCAAACTGCAAGGCATATACATCAAAAAAAGAATTAGGATTCTTTGTATTAACAGTGCTGTGATGTGTCTCACCAGGCAAGTTAGCTGGGTCAGGGCAGTGGGTTATTTGGGGCAGGAAAGCCAGAGTCCTGGATAAAGGAGTTGAGCAAAGATGGGGAAAGCTGTAGAAAAGGACTCTGGAAAACAGGAACAGTCGCTATGGGGCACAACACTCCAGTAGCCGTGCTTAAGTGTCTACAGCAGGAAGAGACTGGGGAAGTGCAAGACACAGTCCCCAAAGGGAATGAATCATAGAATCACAGAATACTAGAACTGGAAGGGACCCTGAGAGGTCAAATTCAGTCCTTTGCCCTTACGGTAGGACCCAGTACCGTCTACCATCCCTGATAGATGCCTGTCTAACCTGCTCTTAAATATCTCCAGTGATGGAGATTCCACAACCTCCCTAGGCAACTTATTCCAGTGTTTCACCACCCTGACAGTTACAAAGTTTTTCCTAATGTCCAACCTAAACCTCCCTGCACTCACCATGCTGCCATGCCAACCTTGTACGTAAGTGGAGCTGTGCGCATGTGTGTTGTGTTCAGCCTCAGCTGCGGACGAAGGCCAACAGCAGGGGAGTGGGGGAAGGCAGATAAGAACAGCGCACATGCGCCGAAACCTCAGGAGCTGACAATCAGCAGGGAGGGCTGGGAATAAAAGGCACAGGTGCAGCGTGTGGTGGTGGTGGGGGGTGGAATTGGAGATCAGGCAGGAGTTTCGGAAGGTACGGGAGCAGGGAAAGACAGGAACCGGGAAAGGAAGCAGCCCAGGGCTGGGCAATCGGGAGCCCACGGGCTGGCGAGTTTCGGCGGGACGCCCCACCAGCCAGACCAGACGACGAAAGGTCTGTGTCCTTAGGGCCCTGGGCTGGGGTCCGTGAGTGAGGGCAGGCCCGGACCCCCCCCCCCCCCCCCCCCCCCCCGCCGTCATGAGGGCTATGTCTACACTGGCCCCTTTTACGAAAGGGGCATGCTAATTTTAAACTTCGTAATAGGGAAATCCACGGGGGATTTAAATATCCCCCGTGGGATTTAAATAAAGATGTCCGCCGCTTTTTTCCGGCTTGGGGAAAAGCCAGAAAAAAGCGTCTAGACTGGCCCGATCCTCCGGAATAAAGCCCTTTTCCGGAGGATCTCTTATTCCTACTTTGAAGGGCTTTATTCCAGAGGATCGGGCCAGTCTAGACGCTTTTTTCCGGCTTTTCCCCAAGCCGGAAAAAAGCGGCGGACATCTTTATTTAAATCCCGCGGGGGATATTTAAATCCCCCGCGGATTTCCCTATTACGAAGTTTAAAATTAGCATGCCCCTTTCGGAAAAGGGGCCAGTGTAGGCATAGCCAAGAAGTAAAATTCCACAAGGACACGAACTAGGACCATAGTAATAGCTGGTGGTGGGATAAAGGTAGGGTCACCGGAGCTCCCCGACGGGACACATTACACTCCCTTGCTGCCATTTAAGCCCATTGCTTCTTGTCCTATCCTCAGAGGCCCAGGAGAACAATTTTTCTCCCTCTTTGTGACACCCTTTTTGATACCTGAAAACCGCTCTCGTGTCCCCTCTCAGTCTTCTCCTTTACAAACTAAACAAACCCAATTCTTTCAGTCTTCCATCGTAGCTCTTGCTCGCTAGACCTTTAATCATTCTCGTTGCTCTTCTCTGGACCTTCTCCAATTTCTCCACATCTTTCTTGAAATGTGGTGCCCAGAACTGGACACAATACTCTGAGGCCTACTCAGCGCAGAGTAGAGCAGAAGAATGACTTCTCGTGTCTTGCCAAGTGTCTCGGGCACTTGGCAATAAATACAGGGAGTGTCTGGCCAGCTGTGCACAGCTGACATGCAAAACACACAGCAGTATGGACAGACCAATGCATTCAAGCATTTGTTCCTTTGATTGTAAATCCTTTAACTGAGTTAGCTAAATACACATCTCTGAGCTAGCTACGTATGTTTCCACTAACCGCTGTTGGTGATTAAATACAATACAGAATGTGGGAAAATTATTTAAAAAAATCATTCTACAGTTCAGCCCCAGGATGGAATCCTTTAGGGGTAGCTACTGCACCTGCCTTTGCTTCAGCCCCTTCAGAGAGTTTCAATGGGCCTAGGAAGGAACAGACAAGTCTCAGTCTGGGGGAATTTCAGCAGCAATAATGGGGAGCATTTCTTCTGGGGTGGCTGCTCCAGCTGCCTTTTGATTAGTCCATTTCCGTGAAGCGGGGAGGCCGAAGGCCCTCAAAGGGACCGGCCCGTGACTTTATTATCAGCCATTGTTTCTCACTGCTCTTGGGAAGCTGCCCACGTGATCTGTCTCTTCTGATGAGAGCATCGCCATGTGATTTTGCCAGGATTTGGCTCTGCCCCAGGAACTGGCATCACCCGATCACTGCTGAAGTCCCAAGGGAGTGGGGGAAAATGGCATTCTGGCCCCCTGTGCTGGAGAGGGGTGGCGGACGGAGCTAATCCAAAGAATTGTCCAGGATAAATGCTGAGAGGGAAGCACTCTATGAAATTGGAGAGGCCTCAGGTTCCACAGCTGGGACAGGAGCTTGGCCTGTCCTCTGATTTGTACCTTAGTCTCATTACACATTCTCCGCACCTTCTGTTTGCCATGCTCTTCTCTTTAACGGGATCTGCCTCTGGGGCACATCACAGCAGAGCCAGCCCCGCCCCGCCTCGCTCTTTGGTCTCCACTTGCGCGAAATACCAGGTGCCTGGGTAAGCCTTTGGCCGAGATCAGTTGATACTGGAGGGCCACCCAGCCAGGACGTGTTCCCGGCCACTGGGTGAGGTATAGAATCTTCTGGAGGCTGCTGGACCAGTGTGGGCCCATTAGAGGCATCGCAGTTGGAGACCTTTGGCCTACAGGCCCTCAGTCTGATCAGGGCAGGCTCCGAGAAGGTGCTGTAAGTCCTTGGTAGCTCTAACTGCTTACCTGGCACCAGCTTCTCCCCCTTCCGGCTCTTCTGTCCCTTCTTGTTATCGCTAATTCTTTTCTGAGCCTGTTCCAGACCCCTCTCCAGCTGGTACACATCCTCCAGCACTCTACTGACCCGGTCAAACTGATCCAGAAGGTTACTGACCACGGAGGGTAGCTGCTCCAAGTACAACGCTACATTGTACGGCTCCGGCGCAGGGCTCTCAGGAAGGGCCAGCTCTTCAGAGCTGATGGAGCTCGAGGAGTTGGCGGAGCTGGTGCAGCGAAAGACGGTGCCGGCAGAGAGGAGGCAGGAGCGTTTGGAGTTCCTGGAAGAGCGCGAAGTCAGGGAGTCCATCCCTTCAAACTTCACTTTGTGGCGAAACTGAGTGACAGAAGGTAAAAAGAGGAAATCCCCTGAGAACCCCAGAGCCCAGCATTGCTGCCCTAGATGGGGTAAGAGGGCCCACAAGCCACAGGTTGTGTGCTCATTTCCATCACACTTTATATTTAGGGTCTAGTAAATGGCTTAGTGAGGGCTAAGAGACGGTTTAAATCATTACCCAGTGGAACAGGCTGCTTACAGCCATTATTCTGCACACTAGAGAGACAAGGGGGTGAGGTCAAATCTATCACTGGACCAACTTCTGCTGGTGAGAGAGACAAGCTTCTGTGCTTCACAGAGCTCTTCTTCAGATCCCCTTGTCTCTTTCACCAATCTAACATGCCACCTTCTCCTCCTTGTGTCTAATATCCTACTGTACTGCCACCATGCTCCTTGTTTCTCTAACATGCTTATCACTTCCACTCACCATTTATCAGCAGAGTCGTTTTATAAAGTGCAAAGGATTTTCCTGCCGCATTCATTCCTGTATCTCCCAACCCTTCGCAGCCCTGACCGAATGTATTCTTACAACAGAGGTGAGACACATTATCCTCGTCTAAGGATGGGGACACCAAAGATGTGTCTACACTACTGAGTTTTTTTGAAAAAAGTGGCCTAGATTGCTGTTGCGTTCTTTCAAAATTAAATTGAAAGAACGTGGCGGTTTTTTCGAAATTGGTAAACCTACTTTTACCAGGAAGAACGCCTTTTTTCAAAAGAGCTCTTTTGAAAAAAGGTGTTCTTGACCGCAAACGGGGCTTTTTCGAAAGAAAGCGTCCAGATTGCCTGGGTGCTCTCTTTGGAAAAAGCAGCTTGCTTTTTCAAAACCCTTGGGGCTGTCTAGATCTCTTTTGAAAGAGGCTTGGAGTCTAGACATACCTTAAGACAACTGACTTTCTGAAGGTCACACTAAGAAGCCAGTGCAGGGAAGTTGACCCCTGATATCCCTGAGCCACGAAACCAGCCTTCCCCTTCCACAAAGAGGAACAATCAAAGATTGCTTTGTATTATGTGCTTCAATCTCTGCTGCTTCCAAGCAGAGCCGGTCTTAGGGGCGGGTGAGCTGGACGGTGATCGCCCGGGGCCGCCATTTTCAAGGGGCCGCCAACAGAGCCTGACGAAAGTCCGCTTGGACACATGGCAATTAAAGAGGCTGCGAGAGCATTTTGGCCCTTTTTTCTTTTTTTGCTCGACCAATTTTTGCCTGGCGTTTTTTCCCCGGTGGCTGCCCAGGGCCACCAATTGGTTAGGACCAGCCTTGCTTCCAAGTCTTGACCTACTAAGGCAGTGGTCACCAACCAGGATCTACCGGTAGATCTTGGAGCCTCTGACAAGGGATCCTGGCAGGTTTGACCGGGAAGCTATCAAGCGCTGGCACTTCAGTTGCCTCCTCTACCTACTGTCATGCTGCTCCTGCCCTCTGCCTTACAGCTGCCTTCCTGGAAGCCTCCTGCTTGCTGTGTAGGGTGTGGGTGGGAGAAAGCGGGGTGCTGATGTTACCTACTGTCATGCTGCTCCTGCCCTCTGCCTTACAGCTGCCTTCCTGGAAGCCTCCTGCTTGCTGTGTAGGGTGTGGGTGGGAGAAAGCGGGGTGCTGATGTTAAGGTGTCCTTCCTCCCCCCACTCCTGTACCTTATCTCCACAGAGAGGAGGAGATGGAGGGAGCTTGGCAATGCAAATCTGTCACTCTCACACACTGTGTGTGTCTGTCATTCTCACAAACACGCACTGTCCTTCCCTCTCATCTCCCGACCCCACACGTACATGGGGGGTTGTTACCACTTTTACTGCTTGCACAGTGGGTTGTATTTAGTTTTTGACTGGTCTGTGCATTTCATAACTTTCATTTCTCTCTTACACTTAAATTTAATTCTTTGACTAGTGAGATCTAAAATGCTGAACCTGTTGTGGCTGGAGTCATTAGCCCTGTGGCAATTGTGCTCCTGGATGTGGCTGGCATGTTTCTGCAGCCCCTGAGAAAGCAGGGGGGCTCCACATGTTGTCCTTGCCTGCAGCTCCCATTGATCAATGATGGAGAACTGCGGCCAGTAGAGGTTGTAGTTGGTGCCTGTAGATGGGGGGCAGCACATGGTACCATTGCTGTACATGCCAGCTCCTTTCAGGAGTGGTGCAGGGCCAGAGCAGGAGTGTGCCTGCCTTCGCTTCATCCCTGGGGCAGCTGTCTGGCTGTTCCCAGGATGGGTGGAGGAGGGATGGGGCTTGAACCCACCACCTTGTGCTCCCCAGATGAATGCCCTATCCCACTTCAGAACCCACTCACCTCCCTGAAGGTCCCTTATCCTATGTTGGCTGTCTGGTTGCTCCCAGGGTGGGCAGGACTCAAACCCACCAGGGTGTGTTCCCCAGGTGAATGCCCTAGCCCCTAAGCTACTCCAGAACCCACCTCACCTCATTTCCCTCCCTTCAGGGCATCTCTTATCCTGCTTTCCTAATGCTTGAGCCAGCTCTATCCCTGGGGCAGCCTGTGTTGGCTGTCTGGCTGCTCCCAGGGTGGGGACTCAAGCCCACAACCCTCCACTCCCCAAGCAAATGCCCTATCCCCTAGGCCACTCCAGAACCTACCCCCACCTCCCTACCTTCAGGGTGTCCCCTCCCACACTCCAAGTCCCTTGGCCCAAGACCAGAGCCTGCATCCCAACGCCCTGCCCCATCCTGGTGAAAGTGAACGAGATTTGGGGAGGAAGGGGGATGGAGTGAGCAGGGTGAGGCCTCGGAGAAGGGGTGGAGCAGGGGCAGGGCCTCAGAGAAGCAGGGGGTGGGGGGGAAGGAAGCCGGGCAAGGGTATTTGGGTTTGAGGTAGATCTTACATTGCACTTACATTGACAAAGTGATCTTGTGGCTAAAAAGGTTGGAGACCCCTGTGCTAGGGTCAAATCACAGCTCGGCAGTCTCACTGCAGCCAGTAAGCCGCTCTGGGTATAGCAACTGGGGAAAAGCTAAGCCTTGACACCCAGAAGGGGGGAAGCGAGCCTCTTACATGGAAGCCAGACTTCTTTCTGTTCCTAAAAGGCTGGTCCCTCCAGGGCAGGATGCAGGTTAGGGAAGGGGGAGGGGGATGATCTCAGTCACGGGTGTAAAACCAAGGGGCCCCACGGAAAGAGTTAACCCAGATGTACCCTACTGTACAATCAGACCCCTCCCCCGCCTAAAAACTAAGGATCACCACCCTATGTGCAAACCTGGCCTTTGGATTCAATTAGTGCTTAATTTTGTAATGCCACCAGAGCCAGTCATTGGTGGGCAGAACGAAACCTGGGAGCTCTGGAGCTAAATGTGTGAGCCTCTACCACAAGCTCATTGCTCTCTAAGTGGTCTCAGTGCACAGCACCCAGGAGGTGTGTAGGTTGCAGTTTTTAATTAAAGATGTGCTGGGGCTCAAGCAATTTTTTTTCTTTTTTTTTTTAACATTCACAACTGATGCAGCAAGGTCAGAGGTGCCAGGCCCCAGGAGGTGCCTGGGGCTCTGAACTGCCAGGCCCCAGGAGGTGCTGGGAATCAACCCTGGCACAAATGAAGCACTGGATTCAATTCACCCTGTTGTGCCCCCAGGACTCTGGATTGCTGGCTGCTTTACGCCCAGGTTGTCCCCTTTCTTACCTCTTTAGTTTTGCTGAGCCCCATCCACAGCTTGAACCTCTTGACAAAGAATTCGATCATCTCGTAGTCCTGCGGTTCAATGGCGGGGCGGTACATCTCTGCTTGGACCGTATGGAAACTGTGCAGGACAATAGCACAAAGGAAAAGGCTGCCAATGCAGAGCAAGCTGACTGTGAAGCTGAGGACGTATGCTACTCCGAGGGTGGGGAATTCCCGGATCACGCGCTGGAAAGCCACTTTCCCGTGGAGGGCCGAAAGCAGTGCGGAGAAGGCATTTTGGAATGTTCGGAACTCCTCTACGGTGGCAGAGAAGGCCTGGGAACGAGAGACGACGTAGCGGTTATTGCTAGGAAAGGTGTCTTTCCCCTGTCCTGTCTGCAGCACCCGTAGCAATTGCACAAGGCCCCTGTATCCCCGTGAGGGGTAGGGGAAGGTGGGTCATGCCCAGTCAGCTTTCCCTCTCGCTGACGGAGCGGTGCAAGGAAGGGTGGTGTGAACGCAGATGAGCAACAGAATCTCATCTAGTCTCCACCCCGCGTGGGCCTCATGTGGAGAGCAGTAGAGACAGATTGAGGCTCTTTGGGGAAGGGTGGTCCTCCTTGGACAGAGCCAGTGCCCAGCTACAGAGCAGCAGGAGGACAAAGGCATTTCATCACCTCGTGTCAGGCCTATGGATAAATACAGGTAAGGGCCGGACCGTGCAGAACCCCTTCTACTCTCCACGTGCTCCCCCTGGCTGAGAGCCAGTGGCTGCAGAACCTACCAGAGTGCCACACTGGGCATAGACAAAGAGCAGCAGGAGGAAGAGGAGCGTGGCAGATGCTAGGTCTCCCAGTGCATGCTGGAACGTCTTCCCAAACACAGACCATCGTCGGACAAAGCGCAGCTGCCGGACAACCTAGGGGGAGCAGGAAGCTTGGTTAGATGTGATCAGGAAAGTGATGTTTCAAACCCCAAGTACATTTGCTTTGCTCTGGCTCACAAGAGGCATCTGTGTGGCCGCATAGCTGCATCAGGCATTCAGCGAGGGAGGCCTGGTGTAGCAAGAGCACCATCTTTCTCCTGGGCCCAGCATTCACTATAGCCATGACTGAGACTGGGGCCCAGTTGCAAGGTGGCTGTTCAACGCTGCAGCCTGAGCAGAACTGAGCCCTGTGCCTGTAACCAACCATAGGTGGCCGCTGAGCGTTTTAACCTTGTTATGAGGTTAGGTCCCATCTACGCTACGTTTTAACCATGTTGCAACCAGGTCAGAGGGCAGCGGGGGGGGAGTCTCTCGCGCTTGTGCAGCGCTCCCTTAACAGATTGATCTGTCGTGCACGCTCCATCAAAGCAGCTTCTTGGGAGTGTCCAGCTCTCTGGGCATGATCTCCCGCCAGAGATCCCCATCCTCTCAGCTCTGCAGGAGGCTGCTCAGGGGGTCCCTTTTGCTCCAGCTTTGGCTCCCCACAGCCTTTATCTTGCTCTTTCATTGGCTTTTGGTTAAGCAAATAAGATCTGACAGAGAACCATAAATACAGCAAGCCTGGAAGAGAGCAGCTGGGCCATTCGGCCAATTCATTAGGAAGCAGGAGAAAGGAACGAAGATGCTATTTTGTCTCCAGAGCAGCCCCAATGACAATTATAAGGGCATTGTGGCATAATTTAATATACACATGCTAACGAGAAGGCATATATCATGCAGGCTGTTAGCAGCTCAGGCCTGACACTGTCGCATACGGCTTGCCGCCATGCACAATGGCTGCTGGATGAAGAAGGATGTCCCACCTCCACGTGGTGGTGAAGACATTATTACAGAGAGACCAGATGGGGCCAGAGCGGCTGGGACTCTCAGAGTAAGAGAGAAAGCAAAGTACTGCAGAGGTGGTTGGGGGTTCAGCCACAGAGTTGCTTGATGTATTTATGACAGAGAAACCATTTGGGCTTCAGTTTTGCCCTCTGATCTGTTCCCACATAACTCTCCACTGGGTGAGAGGCAGAGACCGTTGCCCAAAAGAGCTAGGGACAGGTGGCTGAAGGGCTGTGAATGCTGAAGGCACCATGTGTCAGATCACGCATAACAAGAAGCAGGGGTCACCCAATGAAATTAATCAGCAGCAAGTTTTAAACAAAAGGAAATATTTCTTCGCACAAAACAGTCAAACTGTGGAACTCCTTGCCTTGGGATGTTGTGAAAGTCAAAAGTTCGAAGAAGAATTAGTTAAGTTCATGGAGGACGGGTAGCCAACCTTCGACTGGGGGTGTCCTTAAACCTCCAGCTGACAGAAGTTGGGACTGGACAACAGGGGATGGATATTTCAAACTGCCCTGTTCTGTTCATTCCCTCGGAAGTATCTGGCACTGCCATTGTCAAAGAAAGGCGACTAGGCTAGCTGCACCATTGATCTGACTCAGCACGGCCATTCTTATTTTTTCATCTCTTTACAAATTCACAAGCATCTACCTTCCCCCATTTCCAGGGGCCCTCCCATGCTGGTGATGGCAGATGAGAATCAGGAAGGTGTTTAGGCCACACAGCCTGGCAGATGATGAAATTGAGGAGTCACACATAACGAAGCTCAGGATCGGCCGTGACTTATTCCTGTGCACAACACCCAGGTGGCTTTGTAGTGATGGCTGTTGAGTAGATAAAATGTTTCCTACAACATGCTAACGAGGGTTCGGACTGAACAGAAAGGCTTCCCTTGAGATGTCAATGGGTCAGGTTGTTAATCAGCAGCTATGGGAATGGGTTTCCAGGCCTATGAGGGACGGTGGGGAGGGGTGGAAGCTGGGGAGTGAAAGTCAGGGCTCCTGGGTTCCATTTTTGGCTCTGCAACTGACATGGCCCAGGAGTTTGGGAAATCCCGTAACCCCCCGTGCGCTCACTCACCTTCAGCGTGGTGACGGCCAGCAGCAGCGCCGAGACGCAGCGTTGCGCCCGAGCCAACAGTGCCACTTCATAGAAGCTAGTGAAAGCGTGGCGGTGTCCCCAGTAATGCTCCAGCCGCACCTCTGCCAGCCAGAGGTGTGCAAGGTGCAAGGCGCCAACCGCGATGGAGAGCAGTGCCAGGAGCAGCTGGAGCCAACAGCGGCTCTGACCCAAATAGGAGGCCCCTTCCTGAGACAGGAGCGACAGCTCTGGCAGCAGAAAGGCCACGCTGAAGAGAAGCAGTGAGATCTGAAAGAAGCCAGAGCAGGGGAGAAGAGAATCTGCCTTCCCATTGCATTAGGCAGCGAGGACACGGGTGGATGCAGCAGGGATGTGGTGGCGATGGTGCTACTTCTGAAGCCTCGATAAAGAAAGCAGAGAACTAGCATCGTCCCCATTCATATGGAGCAGCTACTCCACCCAGGAATGACTCTGTCCTGTGCCAGGTCACAAGGATCAGAGAGCCTGTCACTAGGGGGCAGAGCCGTGGCTAGATCCCCTGGAATATTCACCGGGAATGCACTCCTGGGATCCATCAGACTAGACTGGAACTGCTGCAGATCAACATGCAGACAGGTAAGCATTTATTTGCACTGTAATTTTCTGCTACTG